GCGCTGTCTATTGCTGATTTTATACACCCAACAGCACGAGATTTCACTTCGTTAAAGTATTGAAAGGGGACGGACGGACGGACACATTAATCTATTGCAGGCTGGTACACTCAGTTTACAACTTCGTACCTACCAGTATAAGACATAATCAAGTCTCTGCGCTGTCTATTGCTGATTTTATACACCCAACAACACGAGATTTCACTTCGTTAAAGTATTGAAAGGGGACGGACGGACGGACGGATTAATCTATTGCAGGCTGGTACACTCAGTTTACAACTTCGTACCTACCAGTATAAGACATAATCAAGTCTCTGCGCTGTCTATTGCTGATTTTATACACCCAACAGCACGAGATTTCACTTCGTTAAAGTATTGAAAGGGGACGGATGGACGGACGGACGGACACATTAATCTATTGCAGGCTGGTACACTCAGTTTACAACTTCGTACCTACCAGTATAAGACATAATCAAGTCTCTGCGCTGTCTATTGCTGATTTTATACACCCAACAGCACGAGATTTCACTTCGTTAAAGTATTGAAAGGGGACGGATGGACGGACACATTAATCTATTGCAGGCTGGTACACTCAGTTTACAACTTCGTACCTACCAGTATAAGACATAATCAAGTCTCTGCGCTGTCTATTGCTGATTTTACACCCCAACAGCACGAGATTTCACTTCGTTAAAGTATTGAAAGGGGACGGACGGACGGACGGATTAATCTATTGCAGGCTGGTACACTCAGTTTACAACTTCGTACCTACCAGAATAAGACATATCAAGTCTCTGCGCTGTCTATTGCTGATTTTTCACCCCAACAGCACGAGATTTCACTTCGTTAAAGTATTGAAAGGGGACGGACGGACGGACACATTCATCTATTAGCAGGCTGGTACACTCAGTTTACAACTTCGTACCTACCAGTATAAGACATAATCAAGTCTCTGCGCTGTCTATTGCTGGTTTTACACCCCAACAGCACGAGATTTCACTTCGTTAAAGTATTGAAAGGGGACGGACGGACGGACACATTAATCTATAGCAGGCTGGTACACTCAGTTTACAACTTCGTACCTACCAGTATAAGACATAATCAAGTCTCTGCGCTGTCTATTGCTGATTTTACACCCCAACAGCACGAGATTTCACTTCGTTAATGTATTGAAAGGGGACGGACGGACGGACACATTAATCTATTGCAGGCTGGTACACTCAGTTTACAACTTCGTACCTACCAGTATAAGACATCAAGTCTCTGCGCTGTCTATTGCTGATTTTACACCCCAACAGCACGAGATTTCACTTCGTTAAAGTATTGAAAGGGGACGGACGGACGGACACATCAATCTATTGCAGGCTGGTACACTCAGTTTACAACTTCGTACCTACCAGTATAAGACATAATCAAGTCTCTGCGCTGTCTATTGCTGATTTTATACACCCCAACAGCACGAGATTTCACTTCGTTAAAGTATTGAAAGAGGACGGACGGACGGACACATTAATCAATTGCAGGCTGGTACACTCAGTTTACAACTTCGTTTCTACCAGTGGTATAATGATAATGATGATGATGCCGTCTTGATTTGAAGCTTTTTCGCGACCGCAGGAACGCACACCATAGGCTTCGTTGGGCAAAGTCAACGTAGGCGTGAGCGAAATGATCGCAGGATTGACAATAACCGCAGCCTTCAGAGGACGTCCCTTCCCCTCATGGATACAGCGGGATGCAACGCTATTGTGTCGTTTCCTGAGAGCGAAGTTGTCCTTTCCTGAGCGTTCATGCTGAGCAAAGTGATTTAAATGAAAAGCAACGATCTTTTGAATCGAGAGACAACTGCGCACTTCTGAATGTTTTTGCAAGTTTAAAAAACAAAACAAAAAATGTTTAGATTTTTTTTTTCCGCGTGGCTGTTTGGACGAATACGTTGCTAATTTGGATTCGTGCGTTTGTTCTTTAACCTGACTTTCACGTGAGCATGAAAGGCGCAACATGGGACCGTTTCGTCATCGAAAAGAGGTTGAATTTTTTTAAAAATATATATATCGCCGTCACCGTCACAAACGTAATAAAAAGACACTTTCTGCACTTTTGAGGCAGAAGCAATTAGGAAGATAACACTTAACTACCCAGGGACAAACTAAAATTATCATTTGGTTACACAGCGTTGTAACTATGGGTCTCTATGTGTCTCTATGGGTCTCTGTGTATCTCTATGGGTCTCTGTGTATCTCTATGGGTCTTTGTGTATCTCTATGGGTCTCTATGTATCTCTATAGGTCTCTATGGGTCTCTATGTGTCTCTATGTGTCTCTATGTGTCTGTGTATCTCTATGGGTCTCTGTGTATCTCTATGGGTCTCTGTGTATCTCTATGGGTCTCTGTATCTCTATGGGTCTCTGTGTATCTCTATGGGTCTCTATGTATCTCTATGGGTCTCTGTGTATCTCTATGGGTCTCTATGTATCTCTATGGGTCTCTATGTATCTCTATGTATCTCTATGGGTCTCTGTGTATCTCTATGGGTTTCTGTGTATCTCTATGGGTCTCTGTGTATCTCTATGGGTCTCTGTGTATCTCTATGGGTCTCTATAGGTCTCTATGTATCTCTATGGGTCTATGCATCTCTATGGATCTCTATGTATCTCTATGTATCTCTATGGGTCTCTGTGTATCTCTATGGGTCTCTGAGTATCTCTATGAGTATCTGTGCATCTGTATGTATCTATATGGGTCTCTATGTATCATTATGGGTCTCTATGTATCTCTATGGGTCTCTATGTATCGCTATGGGTCTCTATGTATCTTTATGGGTCTCTATGTATCTCTATGGGTCTCTATGTATCTCTATGGGTCTCTGAGTCTGTAGATGATGATGATGATGGTGGTGATGATGATGGTGGGGATGATGGTGGTGATGATGGTGATGATGATGGTGATGATGATGGTGGTGATGATAATGGTGATGATGATGGTGATGATGGTGATGATGATGGTGATGATGATGCTGATGGTGGTGATGATGGTGATGATGATGCTGATGGTGATGATAATGGTAATGATGATGGTGATGATGGTGGTGATGATGATGATGGTGATGATGGTGGTGATGATGGTGGTGATGATGGTGGTGATGATGATGGTGATGATGGTGGTGATGATGGTGGTGGTGATGATGGTGGGGATGATGGTGGTGATGATGATGGTGGTGATGGTGATAATGATAATGGTGATGATGATGGTGATGATGATGGTGGTGATGATGATGGTGATGATGATGGTGGTGATGATGATGGTGGTGATGATGATGGTGGTGATGATGATGATGATGGTGATTCAGCTGCTATAATTGGCGATGATCGCGGCTCGCTTCTGAAACACAGCAACTCCAACAGCGCAGTGGGGGTGGGGGGCCTTACAAGAATTAAAAATAAATAGTTCATACACAAAGACAAAGACCCCCCGTATAGCCTGTGACAGACTCCCTTAGAGGCGACGTTCACCACACTACTCCGCTACACCAGATACTCATTTGAGGCTGAGTCGACCTAGGGGAGGCCCAGGACCGGGTCAGATAATCGTCACTGGCGGTGTTTGCCGCGAGCGGGAATCGAACCCGGGTCGCCAGGTTCGTAGCGCAGCGTAGCGCTAACCGCTACACTATCGACACACACACAAACACCCATGCACAGACACACACACACAGACACACAGACAGAGACATACAGACACACAGACACACAGAAACACAGACAGAGACATACAGACACACAGACACACACAGACACACACACAGACAAACACCCACACACAGACACACACACACAGACAGAGACACACACACAGACAGAGACACACACAAACACCCACACACAGACGCACACAGACACCCACACACAGACACACACAGACACACACACTCAAACACACACAGACACACACACTCAGACACACACAGACACACACACAGACACACAGACACCCACTCAGACACACACAGACACACATACAGACACACACACAGACACCCACTCAGACACACACAGACACACATACAGACACACACACAGACACCCACTCAGACACACACAGACACACATACAGACACACACACAGACACCCACTCAGACACACACAGACACACACTCAAACACACACACAGACACACAGACACACACACACACAGACAGGCATACAGACACACAGACACACATAAACACACAGACACACACAGACACAAAAAAGACACACAAGATACACACACAGACACACACAGACACACAGAGACAGACACACACACAGACACAAAAACAAAGACACACACAGGCACACACACAGACACACACACAGGCACACACAGACACCCCCACTGACGCCTGTGTACACTCGTTAACGGATCTCTCCTGGTGACCACAACTGGCACGAAATGCATAAGCCTGGGCACCACGCCCATAACAAAGCAGACACACACAGAGTCACAGACATACACACAGACACACATACAGACACACACACGCACAGACACACACACAGACACACACACAGACACACACACAGACACACACACAGACACACACAGATACACACACAGTGACATACACAGATACACACACACAGATACACACACACAGACACACACAGATACACACACACAGATACACACACACGCACAGACACACACACAGAGTCACAGACATACACACACACAGACACACACACAGATACACACACACTCACAGACATACACACACACAGACACACACACAGATACACACACAGACACACACACAGAGTCACAAACACCCACACACAGACAAACAGACACACACTCACCCACCCACACGAGTGTGCCCCCCACTCACCCACCCACCCACATGCCCCCCCACCCACCCACCCACCCCCCACCCACCCACCCACGTGCCCCCCCACTCACCCACCCACCCACGTGCCCCCCACACCCACCCACCCACCCACGTGCCCCCCACACTCACCCACGAGGAAGTTGGAGGGTGAGTCGGGCGAGCTGAAGATGTCCTTCGTGTTGGGATCAAAGCGGAGCCACAATGCCACTCCCAGCACGGCAGAGCCACAGATCTGCACAGGGCGAGAAGGTCAACCACGTGCGGTGGGGGGCAAGTGCTCTTAGCGAGCACCTACACACACACAATAGCAGACTGTTGGGGCAAGTGCTCTTAGCGAGCACCTACACACACACACAATAGCAGACTGTTGGGGCAAGTGCTCTTAGCCAGCACCTACACACACAACAACAACAACATTAGCACCTACACACACACAATAGCAGACTGTTGGGGCAAGTGCTGTTAGCGAGCACCTACACACACACAATAGCAGACTGTTGGGGCAAGTGCTCTTAGCGAGCACCTACACACACACAATAGCAGACTGTTGGGGCAAGTGCTGTTAGCGAGCACCTACACACACACAATAGCAGACTGTTGGGGCAAGTGCTCTTAGCGAGCACCTACACACACACAATAGCAGACTGTTGGGGCAAGTGCTGTTAGCGAGCACCTACACACACACACAATAGCAGACTGTTGGGGCAAGTGCTGTTAGCGAGCACCTACACACACACAATAGCAGACTGTTGGGGCAAGTGCTCTTAGCGAGCACCTACACACACACAATAGCAGACTGTTGGGGCAAGTGCTGTTAGCGAGCACCTACACACACAATAGCAGACTGTTGGGGCAAGTGCTGTTAGCAAGCACCTACACACACAATAGCAGACTGTTGGGGCAAGTGTTGCTAAGAGAGCACCTACACACACACACAATAGCAGACTGTTGGGGCAAGTGTTGCTAAGAGAGCACCTACACACACACACAATAGCAGACTGTTGGGGCAAGTGCTCTTAGCGAGCACCTACACACACACACAATAGCAGACTGTTGGGGCAAGTGTTGCTAAGAGAGCACCTACACACACACACAATAGCAGACTGTTGGGGCAAGTGTTGCTAAGAGAGCACCTACACACACACAATAGCAGACTGTTGGGGCAAGTGCTCTTAGCGAGCACCTACACACACACCAACAGCAGACTGTTGGGGCAAGTGCTCTTAGCGAGCACCTACACACACACACAATAGCAGACTGTTGGGGCAAGTGCTCTTAGCGAGCACCTACACACACAACAACAACAACATTAGCACCTACACACAACAACAACAGCAGACTGTTGGGGCAAGTGCTCTTAGCGAGCACCTACACACACACACAATAGCAGACTGTTGGGGCAAGTGTTGCTAAGAGAGCACCTACACACACACAATAGCAGACTGTTGGGGCAAGTGCTGTTAGCAAGCACCTACACACACACACAATAGCAGACTGTTGGGGCAAGTGTTGCTAAGAGAGCACCTACACACACACACACAATAGCAGACTGTTGGGGCAAGTGCTGTTAGCAAGCACCAACACACAACAGCAACAACAGCGAACTGTTGTTGTGTGTGTGTAGGTGATCTTAGCGAGCACCTACACACACAACAACAACATTAGCACCTACACACACACACAATAGCAGACTGTTGGGGCAAGTGTTGCTAAGAGAGCACCTACACACACACACAATAGCAGACTGTTGGGGCAAGTGTTGCTAAGAGAGCACCTACACACACACACAATAGCAGACTGTTGGGGCAAGTGCTCTTAGCGAGCACCTACACACACACAATAGCAGACTGTTGGGGCAAGTGTTGCTAAGAGAGCACCTACACACACACAATAGCAGACTGTTGGGGCAAGTGCTGTTAGCAAGCACCTACACACACACACAATAGCAGACTGTTGGGGCAAGTGCTCTTAGCGAGCACCTACACACACACACACAATAGCAGACTGTTGGGGCAAGTGTTGCTAAGAGAGCACCTACACACACAACAACAACAACATTAGCACCTACACACAACAACAACAACAACATTAGCACCTACACACACACAACAACAGCAGACTGTTGTTGTGTGTGTGTGTAGGTGCTCTTAGCGAGCACACACACACACAATAGCAGACTGTTGGGGCAAGTGTTGCTAAGAGAGCACCTACACACACACACAATAGCAGACTGTTGGGGCAAGTGTTGCTAAGAGAGCACCTACACACACACAATAGCAGACTGTTGGGGCAAGTGCTCTTAGCGAGCACCTACACACACACAATAGCAGACTGTTGGGGCAAGTGTTGCTAAGAGAGCACCTACACACACAATAGCAGACTGTTGGGGCAAGTGTTGCTAAGAGAGCACCTACACACACACACACACAATAGCAGACTGTTGGGGCAAGTGCTCTTAGCGAGCACCTACACACACAACAACAACAACATTAGCACCTACATACAACAACAACAACAATAGCAGACTGTTGGGGCAAGTGCTCTTAGCGAGCACCTACACACACACACAATAGCAGACTGTTGGGGCAAGTGCTGTTAGCAAGCACCTACACACACAACAACAACATTAGCACCTACACACAACAACAACAGCAGACTGTTGGGGCAAGTGCTCTTAGCGAGCACCTACACACACACACAATAGCAGACTGTTGGGGCAAGTGTTGCTAAGAGAGCACCTACACACACAACAACAACAGCAGACTTTTGGGGCAAGTGCTCTTAGCGAGCACCTACACACACACACAATAGCAGACTGTTGGGGCAAGTGTTGCTAAGAGAGCACCTACACACACACACACAATAGCAGACTGTTGGGGCAAGTGTTGCTAAAAGAGCACCTACACACACACACAACAGCAGACTGTTGGGGCAAGTGCTCTTAGCAAGCACCTACACACACAACAACAACATTAGCACCTACATACAACAACAACAACAGCAGACTGTTGGGGCAAGTGCTCTTAGCGAGCACCTACACACACACACACACAACAACAGCAGACTGTTGGGGCAAGTGCTCTTAGCAAGCACCTACACACACAACAACATTAGCACCTACACACATACACAATAGCAGACTGTTGGGGCAAGTGCTCTTAGCGAGCACCTACACACAACAGCAACAGTGGACTGTTGGGGCAAGTGTTGCTAAGAGAGCACCTACACACACAACAACAACAGCAGACTGTTGGGGCAAGTGCTCTTAGCAAGCACCTACACACACAACAACAACATTAGCACCTACATACAACAACAACAACAGCAGACTGTTGGGGCAAGTGCTCTTAGCGAGCACCTACACACACACACACACAACAACAGCAGACTGTTGGGGCAAGTGCTCTTAGCAAGCACCTACACACACAACAACATTAGCACCTACACACATACACAATAGCAGACTGTTGGGGCAAGTGCTCTTAGCGAGCACCTACACACAACAGCAACAGTGGACTGTTGGGGCAAGTGTTGCTAAGAGAGCACCTACACACACAACAACAACAGCAGACTGTTGGGGCAAGTGCTCTTAGCGAGCACCTACACACACAACAACAGCAGCAGACTGTTGGGGCAAGTGCTGTTAGCAAGCACCTACACACCCACAACAACAACAGCGGACTGTTGGGGCAAGTGCTCTTCGCGAGTACCTACACACACAATCAACAACAACAGCGCCATTAGCCACCACGTGGCGGTGACGTCACAACGCTGCCTGTGCCAGGCAAGGTGCACTTGAAGGCCACGTGAAGTGTCGAAGGCTCGTTGATAGGAGGGTCATGGGACAGACCCAGCAGGTGCCACGGGTTGACTGACTGAGACGAGTGGCTGATGCACCACCTGTGACCTCTACTGTGCCAATGTTCTGCATTTTAGCCGCCCGGCGCTCCGCTCGTTGTTGTGAGCGTCGCTCCTCCACCCTCCGTTGTTGTTGGAGGGCGACTGCCTCCAACTGGCCAGTAGCGTCCTTCACGAGCCTCCTCCACAGAGGCCGATCTTGACACCGCTGGTACCAGTCATCGGCAAGTCCACTCAGCTCCACGTCCTCCTGTACCACATCACTCCATCTCTTCTCTAGCCCCGTACCTCCTGTACCACATCACTCCATCTCTTCTCTAGCCCCGTGCCTCCTGTACCACATCACTTCATCTCTTCTCTAGCCCCATGCCTCCTGTACCACATCACTCCATCTCTTCTCTAGCCCCGTACCTCCTGTACCACATCACTCCATCTCTTCTCTAGCCCCGTGCCTCCTGTACCGCATCACTCCATCTCTTCTCTAGCCACGTGCTTCCTGTACCACATCACTCCATCTCTTCTCTAGCCCCGTGCCTCCTGTACCACATCACTCCATCTCTTCTCTAGCCTCGTGCCTCCTGTACCACATCACTCCATCTCTTCTCTAGCCCCGTGCCTCCTGTACCACATCACTCCATCTCTTCTCTAGCCCGTGCCACGCCCGTTAAGCCCCCTCGATCCACCCATACAGAAGCTGCTCAGGCATGCGGTGGCTGGGCATGCAGGCTACATGACCCAGCCAACGCGGCCTCGCCTGCCAGATGAGCTCACCGATGGGACTGTGTCCAGATATTTCTTAGGATTTGTGAGCTCCTCACACAATACAGCCTGGTTAAAACCAGGATGGATCGTAGGCAGGATGGATCGTAGGCAGGCCAGCCTAAATGTTTATTTAGGGGGGGTCCACGTTTCGCAAGCGTAGAGAAGGGAGGGAATGACCATGGCAGAGAAGACCTGAAGCTTAGTGCGGAGCGACAGACCAGGTAGTTTCTAACCGGCGAAGATGTTACATTAAGGGGGTCCACATTTTGCAAGCGTAGAGAAGGGAGGGAATGAACGTGGCAGAGAAGACCTGAAGCTTAGTGCGGAGCGACAGACCAGGTATCTTCCACACAGCGTTACGCAACTGATGAAAAGATATTGGCGCTCGACTGATTCGGAGTGAGACCTCTGCTGTTAAACTGGAGCCGGTCATGAGCACACTGCCCAGGTATGGGAAACTCTCCACTCTCTCCACAACTGCCCCATCATCGATTGGGAGTTGTGGGGGTGGAGTGTCCGATGGCACAAAATACCCAGGCAGGTGCTTAGTTTTGGTGGGGCTGATGGTAAGGCCCCACACCTCTTAGTGGCAAGCTCCAGGTTCAGCAGCAG